CCTTCCTGCCTTCCTTCATACTCTCTTGAAAAGTAATGCACATAATTCTTTTGGCAATAAGAGAAAGAGAGCCTGCTCCATCCTAGGCAAATTCCATCATTCTTGCATTTAAAGATTATTTTTGTCTGTTTTGCCGTAGTGAGGAGCAAGTGATGGGTAATGATGAATTACAGTAATTATTAATTAATTAATTAGTTATTTTTTTGAGACAGGGTCTCACTATGTAGTTGACTGACTTGGAACTCACTATGTGGCCCAGGCTGGTCTCAAACTCACAGCAATCCTGCTGCCTCAGCCTCCCGAGTGCTGGGATTACAGGCGTGCACCACTACGCCCAGCTACAATAATTATTAAAATGAAAGTAAAATGTTTTAGGACATAGGAAAAATAAGATCACCAACATCCTATAAGGTATCATGATGCACTTCTCTTAGTGTGTCTCAGTGGACCTTCTGGTAATTGCAAGATAGAGTAAGTTCTGGATAATAAAAAATTATGTGAATTCTCTCTGTGCTTTGGAAAAATCACTGAAAAAAAGAAAAAGTCATAAACATCAATTTGCATGAAGAGTTTGAACTCAAAACAAGAAACACAGCTTGGGACTTGCCACAGTGGGTGGGTAGACAGGCACAGGGCTGATGGGACGGTGGACTAATGGGTGGGCAGGGAGAGGCGCTGGGCATTGGGTACAAGAGTCAGGGAAAGAATCAGGTTCCTCAGCCACTGTTCTCTTGAGAAGTAGGGACAGGAGGCTGTGGGTCCTGTGATGGCCACCTGTCACTCATGATGATTGACATGAGCTCTATTGTAGGGGCTACTCCGCAACACCCCTGGAGGATGCAAACAGTTTGCTGGCGGCTTTCTATTGTGATTGTGGGGCTTTGTTCCCAAGGAGAAAATTTAGCTTTTAATGTGTAATAAAAATCACACACAAGAATCTTAACATTCAACTCAGAGCATTATGCCATTATTTTAAAGTACTTCGGTAGGTACTACATTCATTAACACAAATTAAAACCCACACACTGTCTTCAAAGCCGATTAAACCCAGCCACCTATGAACAAATAAACGGTTTGCTTAAGCCCTGCTCTGCTGGAAGCTCACACTCCTGCACAGGCCTGGACTGTTAGGTGCTGCCCTGGTTTGCTGTTTAGGCTCTGATGAAAAATGCGCATGGTCTCCATCCAGAAAGGTGAGGGAGAGTGAGTGTGATCGCAGCCTCTCACCGGGCAGTGCACAAAATGGACACATCCTTGATTTTCAAATTCTGGAAGTTTGATACAGAAACAGCTTGTGGATCCATTATCCCAAGAGGTGGCAGCGTCTGGGAGACGAATTGCAAAGATTAAGCTGAAGGAGGAGATGAGAGGTAGAATTGGCCATTGGAGGCGGGCGGCACTTGTCCCCCACCCCTGGAGGTTTGTGGCAGGTCCTTCCTACTTGCCAGGGCTGTGGTCAGGTCTGAGAGGAGCTCCTTGCTTTGGGGACACATCCCATCCACATTGGTCCCCCTCCTCACAAAGTAATCTGCTGTTGCCTGGGCCCAGTAGGGACTGGCGTGTGGGTCTCTCAGAAGGCTGCAGTCACACAGCAGCTGGAGCTGTGTCCTCTCAAGGCTGCCTGGAGGTTCTGCCTATTTGTTAGGACCCCACGTGGGTCCAGGGCCCGGAACACTGACTCTTGGCCTCTCCATTGCCACCTGGGCTGACCTGCCAGCTAGGACGGAAGCCCAAGCATCCTGTGAGAAAGCGCTGGGCTAACGCACCTGTCATAACCTGCCTTGGAAGTCACACAGAGTCCCTTTGCTGCATTCTTTTTGTTAAATGTGGGTCCTTCAGGCCAGCCCGTAGTCAACAGTAGGAGAATTAGACTGTGCTTCTTGATGGAGGATCCACTGGTTTTTTTAAAAAGAGAACTGGTTGTCACATATTGACGGTGAGAGCTAACATCTCCCTCATTCTGTCCATTCTGTTGGGCATTATGTCCAGACCTGCATCTGAATCGGACTTGACAGTTTCAACCCGCTTCCTATGCATTATTTTACTTGGTTTTCTCCACAGCCATGCGTGAAAGCCTGGTCTGTTTTATTGCTTGTGTTTTTTTCACATAAAGCACTAAGAGTCTAAGAAGCTCATCCGTAGTTCCTGAGCTGGTTCCTGAGCTGGTGGCTGACTCAGAGGCTACTCAAACCCGAGGCTGTCCTGGGACTGTAAATTTCTTTCCATTCGTCACTCTCTTGACACATCCAGGATGGAGAAGGAAGACAGAGAGGCAGCCTGGCTCACTCTGAGGCAACGTGGCCCTGTGCCCTGGGCCATCACAGCGGAGACACTTGAAAGTGGAAGGTGGCACCGTTACTCACTCCCCAGGGGTGATGGCACCAGTCAGTGCCACTTTGGGAACACCGAACACAAGGTCACCTCTCCCATACCTAGTAAGAGCGGCCTGGCACCCATGTCTTGTGATTTTCCACCAATCGTGCTTTCATCTTTGACTTCCCTTCTAGTTAATTAACCCCAGCAAAGGCTAAGGGAGCTGTAAGACCATGGGGGTGCGAGGACCACGAGGACTTCCCAGGTTGAGGGCGCTGACCGCCTTACACGCACCTGCTCCACATCCCATGGAGGGAGGTTTGAGCTTGCTGGGCAGAGGCTCCCCCCAGGACCTCCGCTCCCTCTCTTAGGGCTGCAGCGTGGGGTGGGTGGGGGGAGACAGGAAGCCACATGGGAGACAGAATGGCAGGGGGAGCTTGGGGCAAACACAGCCATCAGCCTCCGTTGGGCAGCAGCAGCTGGACGGCGGGAGGCGGCACGTCGTTCCTGCAAGGGGACCCCGGTGAAGCATCTCATGTCATCCCAGCCTGCTTTAGAAGGACCAGGCCGGCAGAAGGAGACATCTGTTTTAAAGTCAATGTCGCATGAGATCAAATGGACCCACCCCCGGGGTCGCTTCTGCTCCTATCTGTGTGAGCCCGAGCCCGGGCCGGAGCCTGGGCCGTCTCCCCTCTTCCAGGGTTGTCTGTTCTCGCCTGTAGAAGTGACAGCTGAGTTGTCTTCTGGTCACGGATACCTGGGCTGGGTAGACACAGACATGTCGGCCGGGTAGAGGGAGCTGGCTCTCTGCTCTTGACTAGAGATATTTGTTACAGGCTGCTCAAAGTAAACCAGACTATCCCCGGGGGAATAACGGTTCAAATGGAACGGCAGACAAATTTATTGTGACTGCTAAGTGGCTAAAGAGCAGAGAACCCCCAGGGAGTGCTTGGATGCCACTTGTCAACCTCGGGAAAGCTCGAGACCTCCCATTAATGGGAGAGCATGCAGACTGGTGCTTGATAAACCGCCTTGTGCCGTCCATAGGATTTATGGGGCCCAGGACTGTGCTTTCCCTGTTCTTTGGATTTCACTTCTTTCCTGAAGGCCTTCACTGGTCTCCTTCACGTCTTGTGAACATCAACTCAAACTGGCACACTGTAGGCACCAAGTTTCTTGAAAGTCCTGGATTATCGGTAGCTTTCTATTACTCTTATCTCCGATTCCCGAGGTCACTGCAAGATGTCTGTGTAATGAGTAATTTCCAGCATTTCACCCAGTTATCTCCTCTATTTATCTTGCTCTGCTAGCCCAACATCCAGTTCCTGGCAGATTGTGTCACTGGAGGGAGCAGGACACCTTGGGACCCACCCTTGATCTGGTGTCAGGTGTCGGCAGGGCCTCAGTGGAAGCCCTAGTGACAGGTTAGTATTTTAGATCACTGTGTCTCCACTCCTTAAAGGACGGGTGGGAGGTAAAGGGAAGCTAGGGACTGGGAGGCAGAAATCTGAAGAATGCAGAATGTGTCTTCCTGGGACTGCTGGGGAGTCGCAGGAGCCAGGACTGTGTGGTGGGACTGACTCAGGGCCTCTGCTCTTCTATAGCAAGAGGGGCACAGATCTCTATGACGAGGGTCATCTGTGCGGAGCTGAGGCCAATTCTAAGGAAAGCAGTGCGTGGAGACGAGCAGGGTAAATAAACAAGGGAACAGCAGCACACGCAGAGCTCACGGGGCCGGGGGACAGAGCTCTGTGTACAGCAGCAAAGGATGCGAATGACCCAGGAGACTCTTGGTGGTCAGAAGTCCTCCTTCCCCTCTCCCCCGCCCAGGAACCTGAGGGGAGGAGCTTGGAACCATGACAGACATGAGTTTGCAGCATCTGGGAATGGCTCACGGTGTGCAGAGAGCAGGCAGAAGGAGCGCCCTGGGGTGACAGCTGTAGCCCGGGCATGGGCGGAGGAGTAGGGAGGGAAAGTGGTTTGATGATAACTCTAATGCGCTTGGAGCGCAAACTCCAGCAACATCCAGACAGTGCCACAGGAAACATTTCCAAGTTCATCTCCCACCCCAATTTCAGTCCCTAATAGGAACTGGCATCACTGTAGCTTCCTGCCTCAGCCTTCCCTTCTGTGTGTGGCTTCTTCCCTGCTTCTGGAGTCTCCTTAGCAGACACAGCTCTGGGCCTTTCCTCTGGATGAGCAACGGTCCCCACTCAGCTTCCACCCCGTGCCCCACCCAGAATTCTCTCAGTTCCAGTAAGTGAGGCTGAGGTTTCTTAGCAAGCGCTGAAGGATTCCTTCTGATCTATTGAATCCCCTCTCCCCAGTCCTGCGAAAGTTTATTTTAATTTTGTTACTTCTGTCCATTTATTTATTTATGATTTTTTTTTTGAGACAGGATCTTGCTATGTAGTTCAGGCTGACCTTGAACTCACTATGTAGACCAGGTTGGCCTCAAGCTCATGGTGATCTTCCTGCCTCAGTCTCCTGAGTGCTGGGATGACTCTTGGCTTCTAAGTCTTTGTTTATATCTTGTCCTGATTGGAATCTCCCTCCCTGATCCCCTTCCTCTGTGACCTCATCTATAGAACTCCTGTCATCACAAGGGCCTATTTAGAAGTCCCAATGCCACTTTGTATATAAAGTTGCCCAATATTTCTGTAAACAGAATCTGTTCTTTCCTTTCCTCTGCTGCCACAGCAACATTGTTGCACGGAACCTTGTCTGTGCCTGATTGATCTGCATACCATACCCTTACCACTCTCTCCCCTGACATGTAGGTATCAGTTATTTTTTCTTCCTGTGCACGATTCCTCCCCATGACCAACATCCCTTCCTTTAAGGTCCTGACTGCAATTCTCTGCTGGGCCATTCTGCCTCCGCATGGCCCCCGGACGGCAGCCAGAGCCGCCACCGTCCTCAGGGCTTCTCCCAGGGAAGAAGCTGGGGCCCCATGGGGCTGTCTCTTCCCCACTGACACTCAGTATGGGCGCCTGCCAGTGTCAGAAGGGTGAATCACTGGATGAGCCCCATTTTGGAGGTGTTAAAAGCGGGAGTCATAGCCGCTCCCTAGGGGATGCTAAGGATACGAGGGAAGTGGCTGGGGAAGGGGACTTTGTAAAGTTTGCAGCTCGTGCTGAGCATGAGATAAATGACCCTCAGCTCATTCTTGGACTTTGGGATGTTGGCGAAATATCAGTCCACCTCCATTTCTGATGCACAGTGGTGGAACTGGGCGTCCTCTGGAAACCCATCGAGCCTCCTGGAGTATAAGGGGTGGACCCAAGAAAGTGACTGGCTCAAGCCACACAGCTCTTGGGCGCCACATTGTGGATATGACACAGCCTTACCCACATGCAGAGAGAGGACGAGGCTCTCCCGGAAGCTGGGGTGCTGTGGCCTCTGTGGCTTCCTCCCCCACCAGAGACTTGGTGGCGTCTCTGCATGGAGTTGAGCTGGTTGCCAGGGCCTGGCTCTTGATGAAGTTGGTCACCGGCCATGGTCACCCAAGCCTCATTCCCAAATCAGCACCGGTCACTGTCTCAGGCTCTCCCCCTGGGGTGTCCCGCTGCTGCCTGCTTATGAGCACCTGTCACTGTCACCAAGGCAGCCGGAAAGGCAAGGTCAGGAGGGCAGAGATGCTCCCTCTGGGTCAGCCCGAAGAGTTGTGGGAGGGTTAGGAGAGGTCATGGCTGAGAGGGGCACCTGCAGCTCCCAACTGGAGCTCAGCAGTCACTGCACCACCGAGAGCTCACGGCTCGGAAGCGTCGTGTGGACGGCTTGCAGCTGGAAGAAAGTCTACAGAGGTCTGCTAGTCGAACCCCTTTGATGGAGACTTCCTGTTGAGGGGTCTAGGTTAGAGCCTTGCTCCTCATGGTGTCGGCATCGTGTGCACACTGGGGACCTGTTTGGGTGATCTAAAGCCCTCTCTGGGAAGGGGCACATCCTGCCGTCCTGCCCTGTGGCCATCTGCTAGCTCTTCCTCTGCTGGGCGAGGCCGTCCTCTCATGCGTGCCCCCCTGGTTGGGATTTGGCTTTTTGGTGCAGCACAGAGCGAGTTCCTGTTCGCTCAAGGGCACTCTCTCAGTCTTCCCCTGATAGCCGTCTCTCTGCCTAAGGGAGCTGCTTCCTTCAGCTGCGCCTCAGGCTCTCCTGCTCTTGCTTCCCCACCTTTGGACGATTGTCAGGCTTATAGTTAATGCACAGCGTCCCTCCTGAAAGGATTGGAGTTGGTTCATGACAACAGTTGCGAAAAACGTAGCAAGGTGAGTTTTGGTATCTAGTCTAAAAGGGAAATAAGACTCAAGAAAAATGAGAAGGCAAATGCAATAACCTAAGTGTCCATGGCATTGATGTGATCCAGGCTAGGATCTGACTCTGAGCATCTGAGTAGCAAAAGGGGAGTGACCAGGCCAAGAAATTGTGGGAACTTATTATTCAAAAGGAGATGCATATGACACTCTCTTGGGTGATGTTATTTTTTCTTAACTTTAACCTCCTCATGCAAAAATTTAAAAAAATAATTTTTTTTGATGACAATTTAAAATTTACAGAAAAGTTGCAAAGATAACGCAGAAAAGTCCCCTCTAGTTCTCACCCAATCTCCCTTCCTGTTAATATCTTACATAACCATGGTACATTTGCCCAAGCTAAGAAATTAACATTAGAATACAATTATGAACGGAACCCCAGGCTTGATTTGGATTTCGCTAGTTTTCCCACTAATCTCCTTTTTCTCTTGGAAGATTCAATCCAGGATCCCCTCTGAATTTAGTCAGCTGGCCTCCCTGGTTTCTTCTGGTTTGTGAGTTTCTTAGGCTTTCTCCTTTGCCCAGCGACTTGTACCACGGTTGTGGTTGTTACCAGGAATCCCGAATAAGCTCTTTAATGGCAGGGTTTATAACACAAGCAGGGTCCCTTTCACAGACATGTTATTGTAGTGACGCTTAGTGAGGGCTGTCGCTAAATATTCCAGTGAATGGTGCTTCCTTGGGTAGATCAGGCTGGCGAGGACCCGTATGTGCAGGCTTTTGGTGGTTTAATTGAACAGCGGGTAGAAGGGAAGTTAGAAGCGAGTGGCTCTAGGTCCTCATCCTTTCTAAAAGAGCCAGAGTAGGCTCTTCATGACTGTTGTTCCCACCGATGCCCTGAGCTGTGCTATCTACATGGACAAGTACACACCTGCTAAGGACAGATCCTTACCCGTAAACCCCAGTGGCCTGGGAGGCTCTTTGTCATGTGACATAAAACCCATCTTCTTTAAGTTTAAAACGATACTCCACGCAGTTGTCTCCCTCCTTGTTTTCTCTCTTTTCCTTCAAACTTAGGAAATTCGCATTCTCCTCTGTTTTTCTGGGTTTGAAGCTACCGTCACCTGAGCATCAGTGACCCGGGAGAACGGAGGCCAAGTGAGTCATCGCGGCAGTTATGTGTTGGCAATGCGACGGGTGTTAATGAGGCCAGATAGAAAGGGGTTGGGAAGGAGTGCGTCTTAATGGACTGGAAAATACGGATTGCTCAGAGACGAGCTGACATTGTGGTTAGGTTGAGCGAATCACCATGGCCAAGCAGCTAAGTCTTCTGCCTGTGTAAGAGCCACGCTGTGCTAACAGCAGAACATTGGCCTACTTCACATGATTTGCTATAGAATTTTGTAACCTTGAGGGTCAACCTTAAGAACTCACCGTGAGTGAGTTCCGGCCTAGTTGAACAAGCGTTTCAAGTATCAGAGAAGCAGCGTGTATTGTTTGGGTAAAGAAATGTGAGGCCACGTAATAGTCTAATCTCAACTGACTCTAGAAATCCAATGCTGCAGGTCACATAATGAAAAATGCTTTGTGATGTAAATTGCACATTAAATACCTTGATTCAGTTCACTAGATGCTCATAGAATGTTTGGAGGGGAATAGTAAAATGAGTAAGAATTTCAGTCAGGTTAGAAGCTGTGACTTGGCTTCTTTTAAGTGAACAATGTTCTGTGGACATCACATGTGGCCGGCACAAGGCCAGGCACGGAGGTACAGAAATGAACAAGTCAAGGTCTCCAGTCTTCAGATTCTAACGGCATAGTTGGAGACAGTACACAGGAGTTGAATAATGTGTGGTAGAGACATTTACAAAGTGCTTGGGGAACACGGATACAGGGTATTTAACCCAGCCTGAGGCTTTAGGGACCGCTTCCTAGAGGAGGGGACACCTGGACTAATCCTGAGCTAAAAGGCCACAGAAAAGGAGATACAGCTGAAGGACTGAGACCATACAGCTGTGTGCGAGTGATGGCAGACTCCAAGTGGTGTAGACTGTGTGACAGCGAGACGCACAAGGAACCCGGCAACCCATGGGCAGAGCGCGTGTCTTGTCTTTGGCTCATCATGAGTGGTTCTGTAGAGGCACAGCAACGCTCAACAACTAGGCCACACATACAGAGGTCTGACAGGAGATTTTATTCCGGAAGGCAGGTCAGGGAGAGGAGAGAGGGAAGAAGAGAGAGAGAAGGAGAGAAGAACAGAGAGAGGAAGGTCCTTTTATCAGTTTGGGCTGGGCTATTGCTTATTTATGAGGAGTGGGCTCCCTTTAACCTATCACAGGCCAGGTTGCCCTATGGGTTCAGTCCTGCAGAAACTCAGGTTTAACTCCTCTGGACCGCTGTGGCCTTTGGGGGAGGGAAACTAAAGATAAGAGCATGAGGTCATTTTAAGAGCCAAGAAGCACCAGGAAAATGCAGCCTGTGATGGTGGTGTCAGGTCCCTAACAGGTTCTCTTCAGGGTGTGACATTGTCATGTTGCAGAGAACTCTCTCTGGTGACTACTTGGAGAACAGTTTTTTTTTTTTTTGCACTGGGGATCGAACTTGGGACCTTGTGCTTGCAAAGCAGGTGTTGGAACCACTGAGCTAAAGCCCCTATCCTTGGAGCACAGTTTTGATGAGAGTCAGCCTGGATCCTGGGGACTCTGGAACAATGTGGCTGCAGCACAGTTGCTGTGACCCTGTCCACTTCTCCCCTTCTCCCTGGTGGGGTCAGAGCCAGCATGATAGTTGGTTCCCTGCGGGTGTGGGAGTAAGACCGGAAACATCTTGAGTGTTCAGTGCTGGCAGAAGGTCACATTGGTGCACTGTTTTCTGTGACACTGGGGGAAATCCCAGGACCCGGGAGGAACCAGAGCCTAATGGCCACAAAGATGTGGACTGCTGATTCTGCTGATTGTGGCCCCACTCAAGGGGAATTCCCCTGCTGGGGTGACCTGATCTGTTTCCATGTGGTTGGGACAGGACTGGCCCTCCTGCATCCCCGAGAACCCAGGAGCCTCCTCAGCTGCTCCAGTCAGAAGGTTGCAACAGTTCCTGCTCCAGTGGCCAGCTCCCCAGGACCTGCAAGGAGGAGCTCAGCATCTGACCTGCATTCGGTGACACAAGGAAGTCCCTCAGCCACTTATTGGACTCAGCACCCTGAAATGGAAACCCAACCAACCTAAAATACAGAGTCCTGGCAGAGATTTAGGAAGAATGTCAAAGAGTAATTAAAAATATGAAGCAGATGACCTGAAAAAAATGGAACGGTCATTCTTGAGCTAGTAACTGGAATAACAAAAGGTGAGCAGGTTTCTGGTTACTTGGGGTTCCTGCTCACTCAGCCATGAAGTGACTTATCTGCAGGTTATTTTCAAAATAAAAAACAGCGGTGTTAGGGTTCAGCTCTAAACTATGCCCCCTAAGCCTTGTGTGTATGGAAGGTGAATAGATCAGGAAGGTGCTGGATTCACCCACTGATCATTCAA